AATTGAATTTCACATTCAATACATTTTGAATTGTTTAATGATAAGCTTATTATTCTTAAATCTATTTGGTTAATGTACTTTGCTGCATTTAAAAAATTTGAAAACATATTTACCAAATTCTTAAAAATATCGAATATTCCATTTATACAATATTCAATTTGTTCCATGTTACTCTTTATTTTTTTCGTTCGACATTTATCTAAAACCATTCCTAACATAACATTAAAATTTTCCATGACTATAGTGTATTCACAATTTAATATATTAGTTATGCATTCGAGTTTTTCTAAATAATTATTATGATTGACAGGGTCTTTAATTATACAATAATTGTTAATTGTATAACCACGTTTTTGAAAATGTATGTGTCCCATCCAGATTGTTTACAAATACGATTTAAAGATTTAATAATGTAATCTTTAAAACTTTCACTGATAATTGTCTGATGGCTTGACACTGTTAAGGCTTTAGACAAATACCAAATAATAATTAACATAAATAAAAGAAATTTCTTAATCATTTTAAAATATATAATATTTAAAAGAATATAATAATTTTATTAGAGTATAATTTAGTATTTTATTAGAAAACTATTTTAAAATTTGCATAGATAAATTAATATTTATATATTTTTAAAATTATTTATCATTAATAAAATTGATATAGCAGAGAAAGTTAAACTTATTTAAATTTTTTTGCTTTTTTGAAGTCGAGAAAAATAACTTTGAAATTTGAACTAGCTTAGTTTTAGTTTTAGTTTTAGTTATTATAGAGGTGGACATAATGCCCATGTACTCAGACCTGTTGGTCCATTGTGCGCACCTCATACCGAATTGTCTTGATTCGGTTTACCCACCTAAGTGTTATCACCAAAGTGTTAATACATTACCAACCATAAAGTCACCTCTAAAGATAACCAAAGAGTCCTGTCTTTCTGGCGAAATTAAGTATCTCTCTGGTTTTTAGGTTTTTAATATCTTCTTTTTCAGGATAAGGTTTATTCAAGTAGTTTGATCTTAGTGTGGACAAGGCTTCACATTCGCACATGATGTGAAATGAGTCTTCCTCTTCTACTCCACACTTCCTGCACAATGGTGATTCCGATACCCCCATTGCGTTAAGATGTTTAAGCAGGTGACCATGTCCTGTCAGTAGANGTTAAGATGCTTAAGCAGGTGACCATGTCCTGTCAGTAGACCAGTCAGGGTGCTTATTTGATGTCTAGTCATGCTATTAAGATCACCCAGCAATAAACCAGGGGTCTTGATAAACATTTTAGATTGTCTAGGTACTACCAAGTACTTCCAGATTTTCCTGTGTTGTTCTCTACACCAATTCTTGGGTAACGCTTTGAGCGATTGCTCAGTGAGTCCTGCCATTGGTTCTGGTCCAACATAGGTGTTCTCTGCTCCTTTCCTGGCTAGAAAGTCAGAATTCACATTTCCAGTGACACCGTTGTGTCCCGGTACCCACGCTAGTGTAACTTTGTTGAACGTCGATAGTGATTCTAAAGTTTCCCTGCATTCGAGGACCAGCTTTGAATTCACCTAATCGTTACAGAGTGCTTTCAAAGCTGNATTCACCTGATCGTTACAGAGTGCTTTCAAAGCCGCTTGACTATCACTTAAGATAGTTATCTTCCTATTTTTGTATACCAGCAGGTTCTGAGCCCCTACCAGTATCGCCATCACCTCTGCTTGGAAAACAGAGGGTGTTGTGCCCAATGACATACTGACATTTATTCGTGGCTTTAAGCCCCAAATTCCAGCACCTACCTTTCCTGATTTTTTGGATCCATCTGTATATATCACAAATCCTCCTTTTTCAGTGAGGTGGTTAATATTCCATTCTCTACGTGTTGNGTGGTTAATATTCCATTCTATACGTGTAGTGATCTCCACTTTGTAGGGAATGTTATTCTTAAGAACCGGTTTGATATACTCCAAGGGGTACTCTAAAAAGCCCTGGTCTATCTCTTTTAGTATTTTACCATGTTCTGTTGTATCACTCTCCAAAGTCCACATACCTAGGTTGTGGAATCTTAGTGCTGTAGCTTTGGCGTGAGCTTTCACCTCTAGATGCAGGGGAGGCAATCCAATTAGTGCCTCTAATGCGACCGTTGGTGTCGTTCTTAATGCTCCAGTGATAGCAATAGCAGCCATTCTCTGTATGCGACTAAGTTCTTTCCTAGCTGTAATGAGTGCTGTTCTGGTCCACCAGACCAGGGCACCGTACAATATCATAGGTTTAATCACTGACGTGTACAACCAATACATAACTCTTGGTTTAAGACCCCATGTCTTTCCCAAGGCTCTGCTGCAAGTCCACAATGTGGTCATTGCTTTTTTGATTCTTGACTCAACATGTGATTTCCATTTTAGCTTACTATCCAAGATAATATCTAAGTATTTTACTTCCGATTTTAAGCTAATTTCTTGTCCATTCAGAGTAAGAGTGTCCAGACTGTCTAGTCCTATTCTCTTTTTAGTGAACATAACAATCTCTGCTCTATTTGGATTAACAGATAGACCGTACTTACTACACCATATATGTATAGTGTTAAGTCTCTGTTGTGCTAAGTCAATAATAGTGTCTGGGAATTTACCCACCACTGCTATAACCAAGTCATCCGCATAGGCTTGTGTATAACAATATTTGTTTAACTCTCTAATAAGCGAGTCCAATACTAGACACCATAGCAAGGGGGATAGAACCCCGCCTTGTGGACATCCCTGTTTAACACTCTTGATTACTTTGGTCTCATTGAGCTGTCCCCAAATAGAGCGTTCCTTAAGCATGGATTCTATCCACTTAATAATAAGTGGTTCTATTCCATGCTGTTGTGCAGATTCACACATAGCATCGAAGAGAGTATTGTCAAAAGCCCCTTCGATGTCCAGGAATATACCTACTGCATACATTTTATTCTCTACAGCTTTCCCTATCTTAGTAATTAAGCAGTGTAGAGCTGTATCAGTATATTTTCCCGTTTGATACGCATGTTGGTTTTCATGTAAAGGGTTTTCCTTAAGAGGCCCCTCCTTGATGTACCTATCAATAAGTTTCTCCATAGTCTTAAGAAGAAAAGAAGTAAGACTTATTGGTCTATAAGGAATTTTCATTATTTATTTTTCTAAACCTATTTTACGCATTAATTTCAAATCTGCAATTAAATTTTTACCATTGCTACTAATTTTTGATATTACTAGTAATTAGTTGGAAACTATAGAATATAACTATAAGGAACATAATTTCGAAATGTTCAATTGTATTATCTGTTTAAACACTAAGAGTTACATAGAAATGATTAATATTTCTTTTTAAATGATATATTACGATATTAATACAAAAAATATAATAAGTTATTTTACAAAATTTAAATTTTCGAAAAAATATTGACCAAAAGCATCATAAAATTTTTCCATACAAAAAAATCTATTCTCTAAAAATATATAAAATGTAGTCTTGAGGTAATAAACTAGCGTTCCCTTTTAAAATTCCTAAGATACTGTATTTATGACAGAATCCGTGGTGTGGGCATTATGAATGAATTCTATGGGATTAGTTTGAAACATATGTTAACAAATGGTTATTTGAATAACCTAAAAAGGAATAGATAAATTTTGTTTTGATCATATATATATATGTGTGTGTTAATAATTATACTACAATGAAAAAAAATTCTCGTCATAATTGATATTTTAATTGATATGTTTAATTGATATTTTATGTGAAAAACTCTATTTTTAAATACACAAATTGTTGCTAAAATATTGATGGTAGAGAAAAATTAAAGACATAGTCGAAATCAGCGCCACAAAAAAAAAAATCAGAAACAAAAAAAAATTATTATTTTTGATTAAAAATTAATTAAAGCAAACAATTTTGAAATGTATCACTTATAGTTTTAATAATATATATCAAAGCTGTAATTATTTTTTCACTCAAAAATTATCTAAAGCATTATATATGAAAGTTGACAAAAATATATGTTTGTTTATAATAATTGTAAAACCAAATACGTTATTCGAACAAGTTCATGACTAGGGTTAGAAATTATATGCATTTATATATTTTGTTCAAACAAAATAGTTTCTGTAATTTTGTCTTTCGATTATATGGTAGCAAAGAATTTTTTTTCGATAATATTAAGTGACATTTAAAACTAATATGTTATTTATTTTATTTTTAGTTAAAATTTTAATGGTTCAATTAAATTAATAATTTAATTATGCATTTTTATCTAATGAAATACTTAAGAGTGTTACAAAATTGAAATAATTTTATTCTGTTGGTGGCGTAATAAACTCGTCACTACCATAACATGGGATATTTATAAATTATATTCTTAGAAGAACATAATCCTTTTCTAACAAAAATAATTTAAATAAACATTTAAAAGAAACATTCAACAAACTTACACTGTTTAATTATATTATAATACACACAATTCAATCATAAATTATTTTTGTTATCTTTTTTATTCTAATTTTAATAAATAAATGTATTGTATCAAACCTAATCTTATGAGTGAAAAATATTGTTGATGTTATAAATAAAATGTCAAAATGATTTATATACTCCATTCATCTGTAATCATTTTTGTATTTTATGCTAAGTTATCAATAAACAGTTATACTGTAAGAAATAAACAGTGATGATTTTTGGGGGTTAAAAGTATTATAAAAAGGCAGAGCAAACCCTTATTCTGGTCTGTTCTTTTCGTGCTCTAGATATCGTTACGCGGATATTGTGATCATAATTGTCGAAGTTCTTATGTGATAAAGTTGTGAATTAAATTGATTTGTGTTATTTTATTTTTCAATTATTGATTAATATTTTATTTAAGGTGTTATAAGTAACACTTGAAAAATGTTGATGATTCTTATATATTTTTTTTTTGCAGCTCAGGCGTTTAAAATTGCTTAATACTTAATTTTAATTTATTCAAATAAAATGTATTATTATTATTATTATATTTATTGATATAATAATCTATTCTCAACATATCAAACAACTACTCCTACTATAACAATCAAAACACCCTTGAAAAACTCGTATATTGGCCGTCGGGAGTGCTCTTGTCAAAGCAAAGGTAACATTCTATTCTTCAGAGACGATAAGATTATAATTTTAGATTAAAACGATCGCAACTAAACTGCTCCTTTATTTAACACAATATTATTATCGTAACATGCGTTATGACATTCGGTTCAGGTACCGCTGTGGATTAGTTTGTTATCGTTGTACGTAAACCGTTTCGAATCGAACGCATTACACGTATCTCTTGAATGTCATCTTTAGGACGATCCGGTAAACCGTATCGGCCGAAATGGTCACCCGAGGAACGTTTTAAGCCGTGGAGTTACCGGGCGCTTACCGTTATCGATGTTTTCTTACACGTTTTTGTCGTATCCACGTTTGTCATTATAATATGGCGAGGTTCTTATGAACTGTTCGTTCATTACCACAAAGCTTCTTATCCTTGGCTAGCTATTGTTTTCTGCATTGTTGTACAGTTGGTCAGTATTAATACATCCATTTATTATTACATTAATAATTAAACAATTTTTTTTTTCAATTTTATCATGATTTTATTTTAAAATTATTAAAATTGATTATTGTATTTAAAAAAGTAAACGAATAAATTTTAATTTGTTTTATTAATTTACTAGTAAAATCAATACAAGTAATTTATGAATAGTTGTTTATTAAGTTATTATGAAACATACGACTGATAAAACAGAATATTTCTCCGATTCTAGATATTTAAATTGCACTCAAGTTATTACTGATATGAATTTATTTAATTACGCAACAATGATAATTACAGATCAATAGCCGTCAGTATTCGTTCATATTTTACACGTCTTTATATCAATATTTTATATATTTAGTTGATAGGTATATGGAATACATTATTCCTTCTTAACTTAAATTTTTTGTTAGATCAATCAGCTTGGTAAAAGTTACAACTTATGAGATAAAAAAGAATATATTATAGTGAACAAGGTAACTTAATTTTGTTTTACTTCTGAAGCAAACCCATAAAGTATAGAATACATGTATATATATATATATATATAAACTTTAATAATTTTCATTAAAACTTGATTATTTTTTGTTCTAATATAATCTAAAGTATGCAATTTTTTAATTATTTTATAATTGAGCCTGATAATACTTTGTAATCTTTGGTCTGTAGTCTGTAGAATATTCTATTATATTTACAATAAATGTATTATGTAAACAAATAGAAAGAAATATGGTCTTAAAGTAATTTTTAAAGGCAAATAATAAGGGTCGGATTTAGAATTTTTCAAGTTCAGGACTGATAAAATAATGTTGATATACTGCTAAAATTTTCTTGTTTTATTAGCATAACCTTCTTTAATTTTTTGAATTTTTATTTTAATTTAGTGTAATTTAGTCTATAATAATTTCTTTATATCAGTCATACAAGGGGCTCCTAAAATATCAAATAAAATTTTTTCAAATTTCCTTTTTTTAGGTTCGAATCAATATATTATATTATTTATATATTTGTATATATTGTATATACATAGTATACAATTTTAAAGTCTTAAAAAAGTTTAGTTTATTTACATTAAATTTTACTCATAGAAAATTTTATTTTTTTACGATGAAATAGATTTTATCATTCACTGGAAATCCCCTCATAAGGTATTTTAATAAACCTCACAAATCAAGAATAGCCTTCTTGATAACTTCTAGAGCATTTATATATGCACATTTTATGACTGGCTTGATAGTATATGTGTACCAAGAACAATTGTTAGACACAACGATATTGCATTTTAATTTGCATGAAATTGTGTCTGAAACCACTGCAACGTTGGTCGCCATTGGAATCTTATGCATGTGCCGAATGGTTGCTGTAATCATGACACCACCTGCTTGTGGTCTATCATTCGATCCAAAACCCGAAGAAATTTTTCAGTTTGAAACTATGTTTAGAGCTCAAAAGGTAAGAATTTCGACTATAGTTTATTAGTCATAAAAAAAAGTATTTTTAAAACTGTTTTGTCAACAAAGATATGGCTAATAAATTAGACTGTTAACTGGACTAGTATAGTCTAGTTGACTGTAAAAACTGTTAACACAGTTAACAACGAACATAGGCAGTATTTAAACGTGCATGTACAAAACTTGAAATATATTTCTCCTACAAGTTTTTTTCATTTTTTTGTTTAAAATATTTTTATGAGTACAATTTCATAATTTAGATTCAATGTCTAATGCAAACAGTTTTAATACTATAAGCACAATACACAGTGTTTACGCGTGAAAACAAACACTAGGCAGTAATTTCCATTGCAATCTCACGTATTTTTTATTATTAAATATTAAACGAATCTAATCATTTCATAACAAAACTAATAGTTTTTATTTCCAAAACACAAACAAAATAAATAGGGCAAATGTATTCTTCATTTAGATTAAATTATCTATAATTAAACTTTGTAACTGTGACATCATTTCATATTAACCAATCAACTGTTTATTTGAGTTTCGATAGTTATGTTTTCATCTAGCTTAAAGTCTATGAAACGTATTATAAGCTTTTGTTTTTTTCAAAAACATGGTATGAAGTTTTATCAAAAAAAGTCTTTAAGTGTTAAACTTTCTTGAGATGAATTTTTTTAGCTATATTCAATATTTATGATTCTATATAATCATATCAGTTTATTCAAACTCATTGATAGTACTGACATAAATCATGTACACACTTATTAATTCAAGGTTTAATTCCCAAGGTTATATTAAAATCATAGATTGATTGGAGTAATAAGTTTTTAATATGTATATTAAAATATTTAAAAGCTATAACTTTTTGCCGTAAATACTTCAAGGAACTGGTTGTTAATAACTCATATTTATATTACTTATCACAATTGGTTATTTTTAAAATACATTATAGTATCATAATATTATGAATTTTAATTATATATTACATTGCATTAATAATTAAATAATGGAATATTCAACATAATTGCATTATAATAATTACTTATTTTTCACTGATATTCTGCGGTTAATTAAAATAATGGAAATCAAAGCAACTTAAGTTAATTTTATGAATAAACTACAGAGTGATCGGTTTATCATAAAACACTTGATTAGTCACAAAATAAACATAATATTGTAAAATTCTTTTTGATTTGTTTTAGTTACATAAAATATAATTCAAATAAATAAGAAAATGTGTATAACATAAAATATTATAAAAAAAGGAAAAAATATATTGTAATTCTTGATTTATTACCTAATGACTTTTTAGAATCATCCCTAATAACTTAAAGGTGTATCAACTTTATTTTCCTAAATAGCAACATACATATTTAATTAAATTGAAAAAATAACTGGTTGATAAACATTTTGGACTAATACTTCAGAATTTATTCTCATTTTTATACCTAGACGAAAGGATGAGTACGGATAGAAAATAACTTGTCATAAAAATAGCAGTACTCACTCCTCATCACCAATCATTACTTTAAATTGTTAATAACTTCCGAAATATTGGTCCGAATTTTTTTATCGACCAATCATTTTCTTGATTAGATTATTTTCTATTTTATAAGCTAGTTAATTATGTATACTGCCATTTGAAAAATTAATTTGACGTCCCATTAAATTATAAGAGATGATTCTAAAAAGTCAATATTAGCTGATGAATCAATTATTTCATTCAAAAAACTGTAACAATGTGTATATTTTTTTTTATTCTTTCAACGATAAAAAACCTTAAATTTAATTTTTTTAAATAAAATCCCTTATTTTTAACTTCAGAATATAATGGAACAAATAATTACTAACATTTTTTATTATACAATGTAGTTCATCCATTATAATATTTTAATTCACTGAGTGGGTGTCTAGCGCGGGTACTCGTGTATGTGTACACCGCCCGCAATACATAATATATTAAGATGTCATAACGTATGAACGATTAGGATAAGTACATTCTTTCATGTTTAGGAAAATTAAATTTAAGGTTTTCTAACAATGAATGGATGAAAAAAAATTATTTAACCACATATAATTATAGTTTTTTTAATCAGATAATTTTTGTTTGACTATATTTAAAATAAGTTTTAAGTTATTTTTTGCAATTGAACAAAATTACAAAAAAAAAAATTTTTTTATTAACATTTTTTTCTAATATTTGAAAATTGTCATTTATATATAAGTTTTAAAGAAAAATTTTTTTATCAAAAACTTTTATTTTAATTTTCGTTGCGTTTCTATATCATTTTGAAATTGATTAAATTTTGAATTTTTTTTACAATTTTTCTATGGTATCAAATGATAGTTCATATCACAATCAGGGGGGAATTTAAAATAGCCATTATTGCATAAAATATTAACTTTTTCAACTTAACTTTTAAAAACATTTAAATTGTTCCAAAAATACTGACACTTTTATACATATATCTTCTTTAAATGCTTATGCAATATGCTTTAATTTGGACTAACGTTTATAGTGAATACGGACACCAAAGTTAATGAAAAAAGTACTATTTTTGTTTAAAAATTGAAAAATTCAGAAAAGTATAAAAATTTATTTGAATGTGTTTTTATGAAATTATTGAAAACTGTATTGGTGTAGAAAGAAAGGTGGGTCATGGACCAATTTTTTATTATAAAACATATATTTTATAATATACCAAAAAGAAATAAATAAATAAATATGAAATTGTCTTGTGCATATTTTTGTTTTTCAATTTCAATTTTAGACAGTTATTACTTTTTATAAAAGTGAAAACTGGGCTATTTTTTTATTTTAAAATACCTTAAAAGGGGCAATTAGGCCACTGATTTTTATAAACATTATGTGTATCTAAATTACATTGAATATAAGTTAAACTTATTTTAAATTTTTTGCTTCTTTTAAGCAAGAAAAATGACTGACATTTTGAACTAGCTTAAATTGACTTTTTTTTTATGAACAAACAAATGCAATGTAAGACTAATGTATTTATCGCTAGGGGTATGAGGTGAGGGGTTTGCCCTTCAATAGTTATTACTTTTTTACATTTTTTCTTAATTTTACTAAGTATAGAAAAAAATTAAAAACTCGTTTAATATTTATCTTATTTAAATCATATAACTTAAACGAATATTAAGGACTCCATCACTGTGGTATTCCCTTGTGAAAACCAAATTCTTATTCACATTAAAACTATTTTACTACGTGTTTTTTCTTCGTGTCTGTCATTCATTTTTATCAGCACTCACTTGGCTAATTTTTTTCAACGATTGGTGAAATGATCACAACTCTCATGTACTTAAAGATATACACTTTAAAATTGTAAAAAATTCTCATTTATTCATTAACAAGTTACTTAGTCATTTTCTTGCATATAGACAATTAAAATCACCCATTTCTAATATTTTAAAGTATTTATTGTCGAATTAGGTTTGATATAGTAATAGGTTTAAACTACGGAGATAAATAATTTGACATTGATATTTATTAATTTCCAGTCTATAGTATTCAAATTTTTAAAGTTTATTATTGTATAAATTGTTCAAAAAAATAATAATAAAAAATTAGGTTTCTTCTGAATTTAACAATCGATTTTTACAAATGCAATCCAATTTTATAATACACTCAATTAAGAAGATTTTTTTTAACATCTTTTTGAAATTATTTTTAAGTTTCGATACGATGATGAGAAATTAATGGCTGTCCATAAAAATTATTATTATTTGCTGGACCGATTTTAATCTAGTTGAAAATAGAAAACAAATAATGGAAAACCCCTATAATTTTAAAAATGTAGACAAATATCTCAAAATTAAGCTACTGTAAAAAACGGCATTTTCAAACAAATATTTTATGCAATTTAAAACTATTTAAATGTAAAACATTTTTTTTTAATGTCTTGATAAAATTTGAATAGATTTAAAATATTTTTTCATGTAATATGTATTTATGACAATCTAATAAAAAACCTAAGTACAAAAAGGATTTAAAAAAAGATCATACTGACTGGTTGACAATTGGAGAGACACTTTCTAATTGCATAGGTAATTAGAATAATATTTTGACTACCATTTATTTGTATTTCGTAGCTGGTTGTGCCAACATGAAATCTCAAATAATATTTTTAAAAAACTTTATGCAGTGAACTTTATGATATGTGGCCTACGTCTTTTCAGTCACCTGAAGGACGACCTTGGTTAGATGCGACTGTACTATTGATTTATGCAAAATAAGTTATGTTAGTGTTCTACACTCCGATGGTCCCCACATTGATCAGACTAGCTAGTCGACAAGTGGAGAGACTTTGAAGAAAACTTGTATTTAATTAAAACTTTGATTATAATATTATTGCACTAGTACTCTATCCAGCCAGATTATGGCGCTTCAGTAAGTAATAGAATATAATGCAATGTAATCATATATTTTTAAGGTGTGTTAAGGTTTATAAAAAATATAAATAAATCAAATATCAATATGTTTTATGTGTTGAAATGTTTGTATCACCAAAAAGTGTTCAGGCGAAAAAAAATGTATAATAATTCTTCTAAGTCCTTTCGACTTCAAAATGGAATGTAAAAAATGGTGTAGATTTGATACAGAATTGTAACTGAAAGCGAACCATATACCGACGCAGATTCCATGTGTGTGAACATTGACCAAGAAGAGTAGAGAGTAGCGTTCTTTTGGAAAAAAAATGTCTGTTTTTATAGCCCGAAAAAGTGATTTAGAGACCTCTGGCGAGATTCTTAAGATATTTTTTGTTGTAGTTGATTAGTCAATATGGAATGTGTAAGAAGTTAATTGAATTTTGTGTAAGAGTATTATTTTTTTATTCATTTTGTTCACAGAGGGAACACTGATTTGATGATATCTTTTTATTAAGTATATGTATTATTTATTACATGTATTAAAATATAATACTACATAGGAAAGGATTCAAAATAGCAAATTTTTCACAAAAGTTAATTTTTTTGACTTTTAAAACTGTTTAGAAAATACTACGTCCTTTAAACATATGTTAAATTAAAGCTTATGTTACGTAATATAAATTAAAAACAAATTTGTCTTGACGACCTATCTTCTATATGCTAAGGGTCGTCGAATTTGAAAAAAATTATTATCTATTAAATAATAAATAAACTTAAATTTATTAAATATTTATTCATTACATTTATATATCATAAACTTGTATTCACGATAAAAAAAGGAAATAGGAGTTCATTTTGCTTTTGGAATAATCCACCAATTTCTTAAAATTAAATATTACCTACAGATTTGCATCGAAGCATGTCTTATGATAATAATTTTAATCACTGTCAGGTATCATCTATTCTTCTCCCAACTTCTTCCCCACAACGTGTTGCGACCTCTAATAACACTCATGAAGTTTAGTATATTATTTTTTATTTGATACTAAATACATTTTTTATTTTTAAATATTTCAATGAATATTTATTCAGTAATTCTATTATTTAACGCCATTTGGATTTTAAAACAAAATCAAGATGTTCATTGCAATTCTTGTCAAAATGATTATAGGATATATATAATTAATACACTAAATCATATACGTGAACAATATGGATGGAAGTCAATACAAAATCTAAAAATTAAACAAGATGATAATAGTAAGTATAAATGAACTTTTGAACCCAAATGCAAACCAAAATTTCATAAAACATACTTGCATAACAATAAATGTACTTAAATGACAATTTGTATATTATCATTAATAGATGTTAGTAATTCCACGATGAAAATTCATTTGAAAATTTTATCCATTGTTTTTCATATTTGTCAGATGAAGTTAAAAGCTCTAAGTCTATGTTTAAACATTTATACAACGCAATGTCATTTATTAACTTCATTGATCAAAGATTTTTTTTTTTTTTGGAAAACAACAAGACAAATAGCATTTTTGATGAAATTGAATTTTTTAAGCAATATGTTTTATAAAAAACTATAGAAAATATCTTTTTAGATCTTATTAGATCACTTACTTTTGAAGACACTAAAAGAGAATTCAGTAATATAAAAGTATTTTACAACAATACCTCAAAAAGAAATAAACAATGTATATCAGAACAATAATGTCATTGATACTGAAATTATTTGATAGCAGTTTACAAAGCAGAACATTTTAATGAAAGAGACCCTTACTTTGTCTATATTACATGCAGTAAACTAAATTCGTTCTATAAAGAAACTATCGAAAATTGTTACAAAAACTTAAGATTTGAACAGTTACTCAATCGTGATACATTCGAGTAAGTTTTAAATTTTTCAAGAGTATTATTCAATTGAAAACCAAAAAAATTATCCCCAAAAAATTTATATGTTCCCTCTAAAAATTATATTTAAAAATAACATTACCACGGAAAATCTGTAATTTTAGTGTAACCGAAACACTACTACTTTCTTCTTTTATTATTTATATAATATTTGTCGATTACATTAAAATAATTATTTTTAATTAAATTTAAAATATTCTGCTTGAAAAATTAATTTATTTTTGATTAAATCGATACCTTAAATTTGTTTACTTTTTACTTGAAACTTAGGATTTGACCAATTACTCAATCCCGATAAATCCGAGTAAGTTTTAGATTTTTCCAGAGTGTTTTCAAACCAAAATTTCAATTATATTTTAGTTGAACATAATCGAAATTGGAATAGTTTTATAACTCACGTTTACGATTAAAATTTAAAAAATAATACATAATAATATGTATGTCATTTCATGTGTATAATTTTATGTAATCCAACAATTTTGAGTAATCCATCTCGAGATCCAAAAATATACTATAATATTGTTTAATATAGTATACACCTCTTTATACTATATATATTTAAAAACATAAGTATACACTCCTAATATTTACAATCCAAAATAAATTACTTGGATAATGAGGGGGGTTTGGATGTTAATACCCCGCATTACAAAATGTTTCGTTGGTAATTCAATTAGATAAAAAATAATTAGGTGTATATTATTTAAAAACTCTTTCTTTGCAATTTTACATTTAATCTTGGTTAATACCTTAAATTTGTTTGCTTACTTAATTGAATCTTTATGACGCAAAAGATAAATAAAAAAACGGTAGCACAGTGGGGTAGCGGCATAGTAGAGACATTGCATAGTAGGGTCCAGTATAGATTTAATCTGACAGTGATTAAAATCACTATCATAAGAAACGCTTCGATGCAAATCTGTAGATAGTGTTTAATTTTAAAAAATTGATGGATAATTGCAAAAGCAACATCAACTTCTATTAAAATAAAATACAAAACCCATAATTATCATACAAAAATAGTATATTTTTCAATATGGTA